CATAAGGAATATTGTGAAGTAGATTAGTCCATTTCAGACCCCCAAACATACACGTACAAACGCACTTACATAAATACACTTACATAATTGTTCGCATTCGGAGGTAATCGTTATGCGGGGGTCCACTGTATTAGCTTCAAAGACTACTCTACTTTACAGCTTGTCTCAATCATCTACAACTGTATTGCCAAACCAGCAAAACAACCCCATAACAAAGTTTAAATTCTGTGCTAAACAATTTTAATGTTGCTTTAATAATGACAAAAGATACTTAACTAGCCTTGAACCAAAGCTATCATGCTACAACAACTGCGATGTTGTTATATTTTTTAGCAAGGTAAATACTGGAATGATGATGGTGACTGTTTCTCTCTTTGAGTCACCCTACCTTGGTGGGAAATGTCCTACGTGGAAAATACACTGTAGAGAAACCCTCAACATAACAAACTTCCACATATATCTGCTGCGTCAAACAGTTCGGTAACAAAAGTCAAAGTCTGTTGGTTTCATAACTGTGAGTTATTATCACAGCAAAACTCTCTCTTCTTTATCCACCATCACTGCCATTATAAACCATCCACTCCCTCCTAGCAGTCCATTATACCGAGGGGATTTACTGGATTCTTGTTTTTTTAACATGCTGGTCGTCTCCCACCGAGGCAGGATGACCAGAAAAAGAAACACTTTTACTATCATTTACACTATTATTGTCCTGCTAGAGATGTGCAAATACGAAAGTTCAGATGTCACTCCAAACAGCAAATATCCCCACCCCTCCTTTACAGTGTAGACATTGGACCTGCATATTCTTAATATAAATTACCTACTGGAAATCAACATAAACAATTAATTAAATTCAGCCCATCAGAAAGTGATTTTTTCTTATTTATGACACCAATCACTTACCAACAAGATAGGGTGACCCCCCCTAGAAGGAAATACATTCACCATCACTCATCCAACAGGTGTCCTGCCAAACATGCACAAGCATCACAACTGACATCATCAGAACTACAACATCCCCACTTATCCTTGGTTCAATAGTTAGCAAAAAACAAAACTGACTTTTTGTGTATATTTATATTTACATTGTACATGTATACATACAATATTTAGTTATTAAATAGTGTTTCAATCATTTATTCAAGAGATTCAATGCACCATAAAACTATAAATGGATTAAAAGATTTCATTATCTATGATTTATTAAATTCAGTGTTAATGTGCTTTCAGATGATTCTTTGTAACCTGCACTACCAAGAGAGGGAGGCACTACAATCAAGTTTAAAGTGCTATCTAGAGAAATTGAAGGATAAAGAACAAACATCTATATCTAAAAATATATGCCAAGGTCAAAACAATCTTTCTCTGTCTACCACATCACTCTGCTCTCAATCCCTACAAAAACTTGTGCAATGTGCATTTTTTAACTAAAATAGTAATATTTCCTTAGAAATATGCCGGTCAGTGATTTTTGCCCAAGCCTCCCCAAATACATATGCTACAACATTATTAAAGTCAAAAACTTGAAGTAAAAAAAAAGGGGGTGGCAAAAGCAAAGGCTGTACAATAAAGTTCCAGCAGGCCTACTTACTCCTCTCCAATTAGGCTGAAGAGGAAAGTTTTAGTCTGTTAAATAGAGAAGATTTTTGAATGAAATGGTTAATTTCTCATTTACAAACTAAGGCTACTATATAGCTAACAATAACCAGGTTGTCTTCAATGGCTTAAGAAATCGTAATGACACGATTGCAAATAAACCATACCCCCGGCCGGGATTGAACCCGCGGTCATAGAGTCTCAAAACTCCAGCCCGTGGCTAGCTGGTCTAGTGGTTAACGCGACGGGCTGGAGTTTTGAGACTCTATGACCGCGGGTTCAATCCCGGCCGGGGGTATGGTTTGTCTTCAATTAACTTTTAAAATATAACAGTACAGTGCAGTACAGTACATTAAAATATTTCATAGTATTTCAATGTTTGTAAATTGGATAACCCATATTGAGAAAATACCTGGAAATTCAAAAGTTGAAATTCAATTATGGAACAAACTACAGTCTCTCCTTACTTAGCGACGTACTCGTTTACCGACGACTCAGACTTACGACAGGCTCTCTGACCGGTATGCGTACCTAAATAATGTATATTAGAGCTGATTTCCTCTAATCTGTTTATTATAATATACAGCACACTACTGTATAAACATTTAAAAATATACCAGTAATGTTATAAATGATGCAAAGGTAATATTAAAACAATATCAAAGATGGTTGACACAAACCCACTACCATTATAGTATGCTTCTCACTTAGCAACAAATTCATTTACTGATATGGTCTTAGGAACGAAACTCCATCGTTAAGTGAGGAGAGGCTGTACTACCAACAGCAACTATTTAGCCCTCTTCTTGATCAGAGAAACAACTCTTCTTGTGGAATAAAGGTCCAATGTATCATCAACACAGCTGTGATTAATAATGAAATTTTCTAATATTTTAGTTAATTAAATTTCTCCAGTGATGTTAGTGATATTCTGACAAATTCCTGGAAGTTAACTACAGAAAGCTGTGCACCAAAACTATGTAGCATTAAAGATTGTCCAAGGATGTTATGATCACAGTGTAAATAAATATTAGTGGTTAAAAAAAAATTATACAAGTTTCATGAAAGGAGTAAGAAAGAGCCACCAAGAGTAATATGAGAAAAAATATTTGAAAAGCTTATGAGAGAGCAGCATCTGGCTGTAACAATGTACCTGGCCAAACAAAATAAATTTCAGAAGCAAGCAAATGATAAAGGCAAGGAGCTTTTCAGCGACAAGTGAATGATGATGTTAGGAATGAACAAATGATAAAAGAATGAAAATAATGATGTAGAACTCTGGCACGGCGTAGTGGTACTGGACGGCCCCCTTACTGCTCTAAAGTGAAAATCACTGCAGAGTGCATCATAGCCTTTTTTCACTTTCAAATGCATATAAAAGCTTGATATATAGCATGTTTACACTCACTATCATATATTAAGTGAGCAATAGAGCTAGGCCTAAGAATGTATATACAGTACATACATTACTTCTTCTAAAATATTTTCATCCTTAGCTAATAGTGAGTGGTGAATATATTTATTTTAAGAAGTCTGAATAAATGAAGAAAACCGTTGCATTAGTGAAACACTGTACAGTGAAGAGCTGTAAAGCAGGGCCCATCTGTACTAGAATTTCCATATTATGAATCCATTCACATATCAATTTTCCCTAATTCTATTCCTTCTATTTAATTAAGACATTTACCCTTTCCATATGATTTTCCTTTCTTTTCTAATGGATACCTCAATACCATATGTCCAGGGAAAACAATATAGATTATAAAGATACATGATATTTTATTTATCCTAGAACCTAAAGAAAAAAAAATGCCTTTTCACTATCAGTGCAAAAATGTTCAAAGTATACAGGAGGGAATTTTTTTTATCCATTTTTTAACTACAGGTACTGTAGGATCGTGTAAGAGAGAAGACGATTATTTTCCAGTAAAAGTATGCTTTAGACAGTGTTGTGTCATGTTACCTTGGTTGTTCAGTATATTTACTGATGGGGATGTGAAAGAAGTGAACACTAAGAGTTGGGAAGAAAAAATGTGCAACTGAAAGTTCAATTGTACATTGGGGAGTCTGACACAAAGTAAGAATTGTCACATTTACTCTCTACCTGTGACAGTTCTTTTTGGAGATTCTGAAGAGAAGCTGCAAAAACTGGTGGAGAAGTTTAGGAGGATATGTGAAAGGAGGTGGAAACAAAGTGAACACATAAAATAGCAGGATAAAGAAGTAATGAATATAAAATTGGAGGGAGAGTGTATGGAGAAATTAATCAGATATTTGGAAATGGACCTGTTGGCAGATGGTACCATTGGAGATAAGGTAAACCAAAGAATAGATAAATGTGAAAAAATTGTGTGCAGAGAATTCTGAATAAAAAAAAATAAGATCTATGGGGTCAAGATGGGGCATATGCCAGAGTAATATGGGTGGGAGGCATGATCTTTAAAGGTTGCTGTGAGGAGGTGGAAAGCTTTGGAGATACCATGTCTGAGAGCAATGTGTAATGTGAATATTATGCAGAATTAGAAGCACTGAAATTAGAAGAAAGTGAGGGGGGTTATGAAAAGGTAATCCCACGTGACTGAGGTGATTTGCTTCATTAGGGATGGATAAGAAAAGGACAGCAATGAAAGCATATAAATCCAGGGTAAAGAGTAAGAGGCATAGTGGTCACCCCACGATGGGCTACTAAAAAAATGGTTATAACTATGACCATAATTTTTAAAAGGGTGGACCGGTAAGCCAGCAGAAGGCTTCGGTCGGATAACCAAAAGCTCTAACGGTGAGTCATCATCTGACTAAGACCCACAACAGGAAACACTTGACCCGTTTCCTGACGAACCTTACCTAACTTAATCGGGATGGGTTGGAGGGAAGGTTTGAGAAGGTTCTAAGTGGCAGAAGTTTGAGCATTTGGCAGGTGTGCATAAGTATGTTAGTTAAGAGTGAATTGAGGCAAAGTGGTTTATATGGTTTGAAGTGCTAATGGAGTGTGAGCAAGGAAATATTTATGAAGGGATTCAGGGAAACCAGTTAGCCATACTTGAGTCCAGGAGGTGGGAGGGAGAGACTGACAGTCGAATAGTAATCTGATTGAAATATCAGAGAACTTCTGAAAAAAAAAAATTACAAAAGGCCAGTGTGTTTACCACTGGGCCAGCTGGCTCTAATAAGATTCATCCAATTAGGTATATTTCTATACACTATAGAGAAGTTAGCAAGAGCCCCACCATGACCACAAATGCAGATTTTTACTTCTGGAAAGATGGTGACAGAAATGACAGTGAATATGTTTTCTTTGGGTCACCCTACCTTGGGGAGAGATGGTCATCGAATTTAAAAAAAAAAAAAAAAATCTTTGTTATCAACCCACCCATCTTATATACCAAGGCTTGACCACCTACCTTTGGGGCTTTAGGTTCAGACACTCTAAGAGCCTCCCGGAAGTAGGCATCCACTGCATAATTGGCCTTCCTCTCTCGTTTAGGTGGCTCAATCCACATTCCAACAATTGCCTTCTGTTTGTTTCTGCAAACAAATTAAAATATAAACTCATGTACTTTAATAAGCTATGATAAAAAAAAGCTTATACTAGGACACACATTATAATGTTTATCTGATTAATGCAAATAATATTCACCGAGAAAGTAGATTATGGTAAGTGAAACTTGGAGGGGATATAAAAACACAATATGGTTAACTTATTGTATTTTAAGTGAAGGAAATGGAAGATTAGATGAATGCTTGGAACACGCCTATGACTGCAGGGTCTGTCATAACTTCCTCAAAAAGTCTTCAAAAGTTTAACACATTGGTCATTTCCCACCAAGGCAGGCTGATTCAAAACACACCTGCATTATTACTCATTTTCTAGCTATCTTTTCAAAGGTGCACAGATATCACAATTCAAATGCATTAACAACGCAAGTTTATCTTTAACTACTTTGCAAGGATAACTACAAAACTTAGGACATGATACAATTAGTTTTAATGATTCAATCTACAACATTAAAAATTAACCACGAGAAAAAATATTCCTGAAACAAAATATACACATCCTCAACAAATACATCTGTTAAAGAAACACACCTGTAATCTTCACCCTCAAACTGGTAGACCGAATTAGTAGGGACATCAAGTGTGAACTGGCGGAGCGACGACTCTCCGAGGGCCTCCAACTTCTTATTTAACTCTTCTGTCTGTTAACAAATAAAAATGAAACATGACATTTCTAAATAATTCAGAACACACACATTGTCTAAGTAAACAAGACACAAAACAGTGAATATTTCAATCTCTCTGCACCAGGATCCTCCTCAGTACAAAACACTTTCTTTTTAACACATCAGTCATTTCCCAAAGAAGCAAGGTAACTCAAAAAAGAAGAAAACACTTTCAACATCACAAAACATATTTTTGTTAAAGGATCCAAGTGCAGGCTTCATAAAACAATCAACTGTATTTGTCTACTTTCAAAATGTAGGTTATCCTAGTTCTTGGTTTGTGGGTGCATATGCTAAGACAGAGAACTTTAACCTGTAAACGGTCCAAACGTATATATACGTTTTTTCAACATTTGAAAGTATGTAAAAAAGTAGATCTTCTTTTTGTTTTTTTGTTTTTACATTTGAAAATGTGTAAAAAAAACTTTGATCTACTTTTTTTTTTGTTATATTTGAAAATATGTAAATATGTAAATATGTAAAGGGAAAGGGGACAAAAGAGACTGTAAAAATTATAGAGGAATAAGCTTACTGAGTATACCAGGAAAAGTGTACGGTAGGGTTATAATTGAAAGAATTAGAGGTAAGACAGAATGTAGGATTGCGGATGAGCAAGGAGGTTTTAGAGTGGGTAGGGGATGTGTAGATCAGGTGTTTACATTGAAGCATATATGTGAACAGTATTTAGATAAAGATAGGGAAGTTTTTATTGCATTTATGGATTTAGAAAAGGCATATGATAGAGTGGATAGAGGAGCAATGTGGCAGATGTTGCAAGTATATGGAATAGGTGGTAAGTTATTAAATGCTGTAAAGAGTTTTTATGAGGATAGTGAGGCTCAGGTTAGGGTGTGTAGAAGAGAGGGAGGACTACTTCCCGGTAAAAGTAGGTCTTAGACAGGGATGTGTAATGTCACCATGGTTGTTTAATATATTTATAGATGGGGTTGTAAAGGAAGTAAATGCTAGGGTGTTTGGGAGAGGGGTGGGATTAAATTATGGGGAATCAAATTCAAAATGGGAATTGACACAGTTACTTTTTGTGATGATACTGTGCTTATGGGAGATTCTAAAGAAAAATTGCAAAGGTTAGTGGATGAGTTTGGGAATGTGTGTAAAGTAGAAAGTTGAAAGTGAACATAGAAAAGAGTAAGGTGATGAGGGTGTCAAATGATTTAGATAAAGAAAAATTGGATATCAAATTGGGGAGGAGGAGTATGGAAGAAGTGAATGTTTTCAGATACTTGGGAGTTGACGTGTCGGCGGATGGATTTATGAAGGATGAGGTTAATCATAGAATTGATGAGGGAAAAAAGGTGAGTGGTGCGTTGAGGTATATGTGGAGTCAAAAAAACGTTATCTATGGAGGCAAAGAAGGGAATGTATGAAAGTATAGTAGTACCAACACTCTTATATGGGTGTGAAGCTTGGGTGGTAAATGCAGCAGCGAGGAGACGGTTGGAGGCAGCGGAGATGTCCTGTTTAAGGGCAATGTGTGGTGTAAATATTATGCAGAAAATTCGGAGTGTGGAAATTAGGAGAAGGTGTGGAGTTAATAAAAGTATTAGTCAGAGGGCAGAAGAGGGGTTGTTGAGGTGGTTTGGTCATTTAGAGAGAATGGATCACAGTAGAATGACATGGAAAGCATATAAATCTATAGGGGAAGGAAGGCGGGGTAGGGGTCGTCCTCGAAAGGGTTGGAGAGAGGGGGTAAAGGAGGTTTTGTGGGTAAGGGGCTTGGACTTCCAGCAAGCGTGCGTGAGCGTGTTAGATAGGAGTGAATGGAGACGAATGGTACTTGGGACCTGACGATCTGTTGGAGTGTGAGCAGGGTAATATTTAGTGAAGGGATTCAGGGAAACCGGTTATTTTCATATAGTCGGACTTGAGTCCTGGAAATGGGAAGTACAATGCCTGCACTTTAAAGGAGGGGTTTGGGATATTGGCAGTTTGGAGGGATATGTTGTGTATCTTTATATGTTTATGCTTCTAGACTGTTGTATTCTGAGCACCTCTGCAAAAACAGTGATAATGTGCGAGTGTGGTGAAAGTGTTGAATGATGATGAAAGTATTTTCTTTTTGGGGATTTTCTTTCTTTTTTGGGTCACCCTGCCTCGGTGGGAGACGGCCGACTTGTTGAAAAAAAAAAAAAAAAAAAAAAAAATGTAAAAAAAAAATGTATATCTACTTTTGTAGCAATACACATGTGAACGTAGATCTGCTTGGACCGTTTACGGGTTAAATGATTACTTTTGCATTAATAATCATAATAATGCCACTAAAATTAATGCAAAAGAACAGCAACATTATTGTTGCAGATAAACAACAAATATATTACGACAATTAATGTTTTGTTAGCAGCCTATTTTATAATTTTAAAATTGTGATGAACTTTTAAAAACTTAGAACCCAATTTATGTCAGAACAGAAACTGCATTTAATACTCACTTTCTCTTCACCTCTACCAATAATAGCATCAATATCTTCATCAGTAAACTCGTCATCTTTGCCTTTAAACACTTCATTGGCACCATGTCTGATCATAGCCAACATCTCATCTTTGGCCAAGGCATTTGTCTTGTTGTCCATCAAACGGCCTGAATGAAAAACAGAAACCAAGCTCATGAATAATGGATTTAAAAACAAAGCATAATGATCATTAAATGTAAAGTAGGCAACAGACAAGATGAAACAAGAACAAGACTTACTTAAAAAAGGAAAATGCACACATGCAATGCTTCGTCTGTGTATTTTGGGTCACACCCTTAACTGCAGTTAGTCAAAGTCAGTTAGTTTTCATCTCCATGCCCCCCCCCCCTATTCTTTCCTATAAAATTGTAAATGTAAAAATTGGAAATAGTCCCCTTTAGTTCAATAGGAAAATTGAGAAACTAGTTTTCCTTCTTAACTTAATGTTATTTTTTAACTATTCTAAAGAGTCATCTTAAGGAGTAAACTATAAATAAACAACAAATAAAGTGAGAGAACAGTGAGGTTTCTGACACTTGTTTCTGAGCTGCCACATGTTAAGGTCATTCCTTGTTTTTACTTTGGGATCAAGGGACCCCTAGAAATTTTTCATGCCTGATTAACAACTGCTGTATTATGTTATTATGACACTCAAAGAATTTTTTTTAACACACTGGTTGTCTCCCACAGAGGCATGGTGACCCAAAAAAGAAACACTTTCATAAACATTAACACCATCACTGTTTTGCCAGAGGCACACTGATACGACAGTTTAGATGTCCCTCTACACAGCAGATTGTACTGCACTTGGAAACTTCAAAACATACGAGGAATAAAAGGCACACTATCACGATAGACGACCGTTTGAGGGGAATATGTGAGGTGATAAGAGGAAAAATGTCCTCATGGGGAATGTCACCAGTGTTATATCTTCGAAATTGGTCATCCTGTGTTATTTAACTATTGTAAGAGAATATGTTCATCACTTAATATTATAGCGCGAAAGTCCCCGTTTATAGCTAAAATAGAGACTTTTGGCGTTATATTATTATCTGTTAATATATGAAAAATACCATGGTATTATCATTATTTTGTTATTTTTATTATTTTTTTTTTATTATCACACCGGCCGATTCCCACCAAGGCAGGGTGGCCCGAAAAAGAAAAACTTTCACCATCATTCACTCCATCACTGTCTTGCCAGAAGGGTGCTTTACACTACAGTTTTTAAACTGCAACATTAACACCCCTCCTTCAGAGTGCAGGCACTGTACTTCCCATCTCCAGGACTCAAGTCCGGCCTGCCGGTTTCCCTGAATCCCTTCATAAATGTTACTTTGCTCACACTCCAACAGCACGTCAAGTATTAAAAACCATTTGTCTCCATTCACTCCTATCAAACACGCTCACGCATGCCTGCTGGAAGTCCAAGCCCCTCGCACACAAAACCTCCTTTACCCCTCCTCCAACCCTTCCTAGGCCGACCCTACCCCGCCTTCCTTCCACTACAGGACTGATACACTCTTGAAGTCATTCTGTTTCGCTCCATTCTCTCTACATGTCCGAACCACACAACAACCCTTCCTCAGCCTCTGGACAACGTTTTGGTAATCCGCACCTCTCCTAACTTCCAAACTACGAATTCTCTGCATTATATTCACACCACACATTGCCCTCAGACATGACATCTCCACTGCCTCCAGCCTTTCTCCTCGCTGCAACATTCATCACCCACGCTTCACACCCATATAAGAGCGTTGGTAAAACTATACTCTCATACATTCCCTCTTTGCCTCCAAGGACAAAGTTCTTTGTTTCCACAGACTCCTAAGTGCACCACTCACTCTTTTTCCTCATCAATTCTATGATTCACCTCATCTTTCATAGACCCATCGTTGACTCGTCCACTCCCAAATATCTGAATACGTTCACCTCCTCCATACTCTCTCCCTCCAATCTGATATTCAATCTTTCATCACCTAATCTTTTTGTTATCCTCATAACCTTACTCTTTCCTGTATTCACCTTTAATTTTCTTCTTTTGCACAACCCTACCAAATTCATCCACCAATCTCTGCAACTTCTCTTCAGAATCTCCCAAGAGCACAGTGTCATCAGCAAAGAGCAGCTGTGACAACTCCCACTTTGTGTGTGATTCTTTATCTTTTAACTCCACGCCTCTTGCCAAAACCCTCGCATTTACTTCTCTTACAACCCCATCTATAAATATATTAAACAACCACGGTGACATCACACATCCTTGTCTAAGGCCTACTTTTACTGGGAAAAAATTTCCCTCTTTCCTACATACTCTAACTTGAGCCTCACTATCCTCGTAAAAAACTCTTCACTGCTTTCAGTAACCTACCTCCTACACCATTTCACTTGCAACATCTGCCACATTTGCCCCCCTATCCACCCTGTCATACGCCTTTTCCAAATCCATAAATGCCACAAAGACCTCTTTAGCCTTATCTAAATACTGTTCACTTTATGTTTCACTGCAAACACCTGGTCCAACACCCCCTACCTTTCCTAAAGCCTCCTTGTTCATCTGCTATCCTATTCTCCGTCTTACTCTTAATTCTTTCAATTATAACTCTACCATACACTTTACCCGGTACACTCAACAGACTTATCCCCCTATAATTTTTGCACTCTCTTTTATCCCCTTTGCCTTTATACAAAGGAAAACTATGCATGCTCTCCCCAATCCTAGGTACCTTACCCTTTTCCCTACTTTATTAAATAATTGCCCAAACCCTCCAAAACTATACCCCCAATGTTTTTAAAACTTTCTTCTTTATCCCTCAATCCCGGTGCCTTACCCCCTTTCATTTCCCCTACCCCTCACGAACTTCCCCCCACTCACAATGGCTTTCCCTACCCCTAAAAGTGTTATTTCCTTGCCCTTTTCACGAAATCACAGCTTCCCTATTTCTAACATTTAAAAATTTCCTAAAAATTTTCCCTTTCCCATTTCCCCAAAACCCTCAAACTCTCCATTTAATACTCTCCTCTCTATTTTTAACTGAAAAACCCATTTGTTTCTGGTTTTCTTAATTGTTAATCTCACCCAAAAACTTTTTCTTATTTTCAAAAAAAATTTGTTGAAAAAATTCCCCCACTCTCCATTTGCTCTCTTTTTACATTTTACACTCTCTTAACTTCTCTCTTTTTCCCCTATACTCTCCCTCTTGTCATTTTCTATTTTGTAAAAACTTCTATATGCAAAATTTTTTTCCCCCTTACTACTCTCTTTAATCATCTTTCCCACCAATCGCTCCTTTCCCCCTGCCCCCACTTCCCTTTAAACCCCAAAACTTCTGCTGAACACTCTAACACTACATTTTTAAAAACCTACCCCCTACCTCTTCGACCCATTGCCTATGCTTCATTAGCCCCTCTATCCCCCCAAAAGCGTTTATATTTTTTTTTTCCCTTACTGCCTCCCCTTTTAGTTTATAAACCTTCACCTCTCTCTTCCCCGTGCTTCTATTCTCCTTGTATCCCCTTACCTTTTACTCCGTATAGCTACAATAGAAATGATTGATATATCTGTGGCCCCCCTATAAACATGTCATCCCGAAGTCTACTCAACAGTCTTTTTTACCCAAAATAATCCAAAAAAACTACGTCATTTCGCCCTAACCCAAACGTGTATATTATTTATCTCTTTTTCTTAAAATAGTATTACCTTAAATAAACCCTTTCTATACAAAGTTCAAACAAAGGGGGCCCTTATCTTTACACCCCGGCACCCCAAAAATTACCTACCACACCCTCTCAAAAGTTTCTCCTACTTTGCATTTAAGTCCCCCCACACAATTTCTCTCTACTTGGTTTTAAAAGGTCCTATACATTCACTTTAAATCTCCCAAAATCTCTCTCTCTCCTTTTGCATTTCCCCTCTTCTCCCGGGGATACACGCTTATTATGACCCACTTCCGCATCAAACCTTTTTTTTAATCCCCATAATTCTTGAATTTACACATTCATATTCTCTTTTTTCCTTCCATAAACTGATCATTTAACATTACTGCTACCCCTTCCTTTGCTCTAACTCTCTCAGATACTCCAGATTTAATCCCATTTATTTCCCCCCACTGAAACTCTCCTACCCCCTTCAGCTTTGTTTCGCTTAGGGCCAGGACATCCAATTCTTTTCATTCATAACATCAGCAATCATCTGTTTCTTGTCATCCGCACTACATCCACGCACATTTAAGCAACCCAGTTTTATAAAGTTTTTCTTCTTCTCTTTTTTAGTAATTGTATACAGGAGAAGGGGTTACTAGCCCATTGCTCCCGGCATTTTAGTCTGCCTCATACGACACGCATGGCTTACGGAGGAAAGATTCTTTTCCACTTCCCATGGACAATAGAAGAAATAAAAAAGAACAAGAGCTATTTAGAAAAAAGAGAAAAACCTAGATGTATGTATATATATATATGCATGTGCGTGTCTGTGAAGTGTGACCAAAGTGTAAGTAGGAGTAGCAAGATATCCCTGTTATCTTAGCGTGTTTATGAGACAGAAAAAGAAACCAGCAATCCTACCATCATGCAAAACAGTTACAGGTTTTTGTTTCACAGTCTTCTGGCAGGACGGTAGTACTTCCCTGGGTGGTTGCTGTCTACCAACTACTACCAACCACTATTTTGTTATTATCACTATTTTGTTATTATTATTGTTAGGGGAAGGAAGGAGGGGTAGGGGTCGTCCTCAAAAGGGTTGGAAAGAGGGGGTAAAGGAGGTTTTGTGGGCGAGGGGCTTGGACTTCCAGCAAGCGTGCATGAGCGTGTTAGATAGGAGTGAATGGAGACGAATGAAATTTGGGCCTGACGATCTTTTGGGGATTTGTGAGCAGGGTAATTTTTATTTTGGGATTCGGGGAAAAAAGGGTTTGTTTTCATTTAGTCGGACTTGAGTCCGGGAAAAGGGGAAAATTACAAGCCGGCACTTTAAAGGGGGGTTTGGGATATTGGCAGTTTTGGAGGGATATGTTGGTATCTTTTTTGTTTTATGTTTTCAAAAACTGTTGTTTTTCTGGAAACCTTTTTGCAAAAACAGAGGATAATGGTGAGTGTGGTAAAAGTTTTGGGAATGATTTTGAAAGTATTTTTTTTTTTTGGGGATTTTCTTTTTTTTTTTGGGCCCACCCGGGCCTCGGTGGGAGACGGCCGACTTGTTAAAAAAAAAAAAAAAAAATTTTAGGATTTTTTTGTGTATATAAAATTTTAAAGTCTCGGAAAACCTCGAAAATTTGGTTCAATTTTTTAATTTTCCGGGTGGCTGACGTTTGGGGTCGCTGACCCAAACCTGACGACGCTTTCAACAGACGGGCAAGTAGTCAGTTGCTCCCTGCCAAAGCCCGGGCCCAACTGTTCGTATATTGGCTTTTTATGGTGAACAGTTTGAATGGTTTTGAGTTTTGGACTCTGGGCGGGACCTTTTTGTTCCTCATTGCTCTAAAAGTTCTTTTGTTATTTAAAATTTTTTGGTCAGTTTAGTAATCCATAGAGATACTTTATGGCCAGATTAAAAAGGGTCTTTTTTAAATCTTGTACCTTTTGTTTTTTGAGTTTACAGTTTTGTTAAGAAAAAGGAGGGAAAAATTTTAATGAAGATTTAAATTTACGGGAAAGGAAAAATTAAACTTCCTTATTAATGTGACATTTCCATGATTTTGAACTTAAAGTAATGGGAAATTTATTGTACAAAGTATTTTAAATTCATTAAATACAAAGAGAAGAAAAAGTATTGTATTTAAATACTTTAATTAAAATTTTAATATTATTTTATGGAGTTTCCCCGTTTTAAATTTTTTCCCCCCGACCTAAAAAACCCTTTTAAAAAACTCGGATCCAAAAAAACTTGTTGGGATAAGAAATAAATTTGGGAAAAGGCCACATTTGAAGTTCTTTTTAAAAAAATTCTTATTGCAACAAAGGGGTTTCCGGCCGGGATTTTTGTTGTTGTAAGACATTTTCAAAAGAAAAAAATTTAAAATTTATATACTGGGGAATTTTTCTTTGTTTAAAATTTTTAAAAAATTTATTTATGGAAAAATCCCCATTAAAAAGGGTTTTTTGAAGATTTAACATTGCCCAAAACTGGACTCCTTGAAACTTTTAAAGTGTGGCAGATTTGCCCGTAAACTTTGGGGGGTACCATAGAGAAATTTAAAAAAAACTTTTCGATGGTATTTTCTTTGGAAAGGGCCCCTTGGGGGAAATCTAAATAAAAAACGTGAGAAGAGAGGGGGTAAGGGGGTTTTGTTTAAAGGCTTTCAAAATTACTTTGGGGGGCTAGAAGAGAAAGAAACCCCGGCACACACATGCTCTAAATTCACTGAAGAGTAACGGGGACATTAAGAAATGTTTTTCATTCTCATGGCAGTAAGTTGAACATACTAAACGAAAAGCTGCTGGAGGCAAACAGCATGCAGAGCTTCAAGAGTGGATATAACTAGGCACTGAGTAGTTTCAAATTTAGATTGGATAAATACATGAGTGAGAGGGGTTGGATTTGAGTGGCGACTTGCCAATCAGAGCTTATTTCTTGGGTAGCATTGAAAATTGGGTTGGACAAACGTTTTGTTAGTGGGATGAATTATAAAGGACCTGCCTAGTATGGGCCAACAGGCCTCCTGCAGTGCTCCTTCTTTCTTATGTTCTTATATTACACAGCCAATACCATAAGGGCAATAATTAGAAACAAATTGTTTCCAGGGGCCTCTAACCATCATGTAGCAGGAGATTCTGACTCTGAAAGTTTAGTTTCTCAAGTAAGCTACCAGTCGAGATTCGAAGTATTAGAAGAACAATTTCAAAGAATTGATCTTGAAATTGAATCAGATAGATTAGGTCCCGCTTTGGCTTCTAGTAAAGTAGATGCTGTTCGGCATTCGCCCGTTACTGAAGGAATTCCTATTAATGGTCAGCCTGGCCCTCACCAAGGTGCACGTCCAAAGGAATATCCACATACCGCCAGTTCAATTCCCTCATTCTCGATACCATCGGGGCATATTTCTCAAAGTCAGTTTGAGAAATTAGAGAGACTATTTATTTTACAGACTGCTCAAATTGAGGCTCAGCATAAATTAAATGAAGAAGACTTTCAAAGGGAAATGCTCCGCTATATAAGACAACAACAACAAGGTAATGTGAGTGAAAGATGTACTGAATCCTCAAATGATTCTTTCAATATACAAAAAGCTGCATCTATGGTTCCAAGGTTTAATGACGGAGATTTAGATACTTATTTTGAAGTCTTTGAGAATCAAGCACGTGCTATGAGCTGGCCCCGACAACACTGGGCAACCTTATTACATACATGTACTTCGTTGTCTGGTAAAGCTCAAAGTTGTACGGCTACGTTACCTTTTGAGAAATATGTGGATTATGATTCCGTTAAGAAGGCTATCCTAGAGGCTTATGATCTCCTCCCAGTAAGTTATCAAAAAACCTTTAGAGCATTAAAACGCCAGCCAACTCAGTCGTATGTAGATTTTGCACGTGAAAAGAAAATCGCTTTTGAGAGATGGTGTAGAGCTTCTAACTTTTAAATCTATGGAAAGTCTTTCCCAATTGATCCTGCATGAGGATTTCTATAATAATTTACCAGAAGACTTGCATAGGTATTTGATTAGTTGCCCCATAGTAAATATACTAGAAACAGCCTCGCTCGCCGATAATTATGAAATATCTCAACAATTGATTGGCGAAACAAAAAGTAAGGAAACAGTGATCGAGTTCTTTCTTCTCCATTCTTCCGTCGTACTACATGCCTTATTTACCAAGAGGACGCTTACTATAAAGGAGATATTATCAAAGACGCTTGCAAACTCCCTACTGCGACCTATTGTCGTACGGGGGGGGGGTGTTATATCTTCGAAATTGGTCATCCTGTGTTATTTAACTATTGTAAGAGAATATGTTCATCACTTAATATTATAGCTCGAAAGTCCCCGTTTATAGCTAAAATAGAGACTTTCGGCGTAATATTATTATCTGTTAATATATGAAAAATACCATGGTATTATCATTATTTTGTTATTATTATCACTATTATTTTATTATTATTGTTAGGTAGGATTTCTTGTGTATATAGAGTTTAAGTCTCGGAACCATCCTGTGAATTGTTCAATTGTTTATGTCCGGCTGGCTGACGTTTGGTCAGCTGATCCAACCTTTACGACGCGTCAACAGACTGGGGAAAATATTTATCTGCTCCCCGCTCTAGCCCCGACAACTAATCGTTATATTGGCTCTTATGGTGAACAGTTTGAATGGTTTTGAGAATTGGACTCTAGAGCTGACTCAGTTTGTTCCTCATTGCTCTGAAAGATTCTTTTGATATTTATATTTTGGTCAGTTTAGTAATCCAAAAGAGAAACTTTTTGGCCCGATTCAAAGGTCTTGTTAAATCTTGTACCTTTTGTATTTTGAGTTTACAGTCTTTTTAAGACAAAGACTAAATGTTAATGAAGACTTAATTACAGGAAGAATAAATTTAAAATTCCTTATTAATGTGACATTTCCATGATTTTGAACTAAATGTATATGGTAAATTTATTGTACAAAGTATTAAGTTACATTAACTACAAAGAGAAGATAAATTATTGTATTTAAATACTTTAATAAATTTGAATATTATTCTATGGAGTTTCCCAGTTGAAATTATTTCCCCTAGACTCTAAAATACCTTTAAATAACTCGGATCCAAAAATCTTGTTGCATAAGAAATAAATGGTAACAGGCCACATTCTGAAGTTCTTTAAAAAATTTCTTATTCGCAACACCATGGAGTGCCACAAGGATCTGTACTTGCTCACTATACAACCCATTCTTGTTTTGAAGCATCAATGGTTTATGTATTGTTGTTCAGTGTCAACCATTCCATGTGTCCTATTTTCTTTCAATTTGCACTTTTACTTTAAATTAATTTTAAATTACCTCTACAAACCACTTTACCTAACTTTTTCTCTTCTTTTACCTTGTTGAATGACCATCTTGTCCAGACGAAGCTTCACCTCAGCACGTTCCACAAGTTTCTCTTCCATCGAGTTCTCCTGGATGAAACGGAATACCTTCACCTGCTTCTTTTGCCCAATACGATGTGCTCTGTCCATAGCCTGAACCAAGAGAGTATATTTATACTATGACTCACAAAATCGCAGTAACACTATTACAAACAAATGCTGGAATGAGTGGGGAGTGAACCAATGGCCAAGTCGGTAGGGCACTGGCCTGTGGCTTTTAGAACTCACCTGCCTTAGGTTCAAGCCCTACTCATTCCCAGATTTATATTTATACCATACACATTTTGTAGTTTGATATTAGCATTTGCCAAAATTGTCATGTACCAAAAAATTTCAGCTTTATAAAATTACAGAAATAATCTAACCACTCAAAATTCTCCTTAGACAACACTAAGTTGAAGTTGAAGAGAATGTAATGAACTAGAAATAGATCATGTGCACCTGCAAATCCATCTGTGGGTTCCAATCAGAATCAAAAAGGATGACAATGTCTGCAGTGGCCAGATTGATACCAAGACCTCCAGCTCTGGTTGACAGCATAAACAGGAACTTCTCTCTGTTGACACACCAATGTACGCTGTACACTATAGGCAGTATGGATAACTAGTGTAATCAACACTTGTCAATGCTCAATAATAACCCACAGAGACAGAAACTCCTCTACCGAAGATTATTATTACAATCATGAGGAAGCACTTAACCCATAGAGGTCATGCAGCACCTTGGGGAATGGAAGGCATTCAAACTTGATTAAAGGAATTGGAGCACAAGTCCAATTCCTTATATCAGGAGTGCCTCATCAGCATCTGCTGAAGAGGATCTCAAAAAAGGATCAAAATACATATATACAGACTTGATTTTCTGAGTTTCTGTGTCCATGTAGGCTCTTACAGGCAGTATATTTACTACTTAACCAACCTACAATACATGAGTATAGTTTATGATCTACAAACTGAAAAAAAGTTTATTATACAGTAGACCGTCGTTTAACATGGTACTGTCTTGCACGTTTTAGATATAGCATGATTGAAGAATTGCGGCATATTTTTGTTTAACACTTCATAAAATTAGTTTAACATGGTTGCAGGAGGGGAAAAATTTTGAGCACGTCGCCCGCCGGGTGGGATGGTCTGTGGGTTACACCACTGTGTCAACGGGGGAGACCTACTGCCATGCCATCCCTTGTCTCTCTCAGTCACCCACACCACCCTCCCAGGCTTCAGTTCGGAAGCGTGTAGGATGACGAGATGATTGACGATATGTGTTCATTTACTTCTTTTTTTTTTTTTTTTAACAAGTCGGCCGTCTCCCACCGAGGCAGGGTGACCCAAAAAGAAAGAAAATCCCCAAAAAGAAAATACTTTCATCATCATTCAACACTTTCACCTCACTCACACATAATCACTGTTTTTGCAGAGGTGCTCAGAATACAACAGTTTAGAATTTTTTTTTTTTTTCAAAAGTCAGCCGTCTCCCATATATTAAATCTGTCAAGCAATCATGGCACTGACTTGGATGAATGACTTACTGACTTGACTGAATGACTTACTGACTTGACTGAATGACTTACTGACGACTGAATGACACACTGACTTGACTGAATGACACACTGACTTGACTGAATAGCTTACTGACTTGACTGAATGACTTACTGACTTGACTGAATAACTTACTGACTTGACTGAATAACTTAATGACTTGACTGAATAACTTACTGACTTGACTGAATAACTTACTAACTTGACTGAATGACTTACTGAAAAAGATAGGTAGATATTATTTATTGATAGTAACAGTATAATTATACAATAACAAATCTAGAAGCAGTGCTTTGAAACGGGGTCTAGACCAGCTGATGATGCCTTACCATCAGCTGTATAATGTACTGCAGGGTAAAAGAGCCCAGAGATCCATTACAGAATTTATGCACACTCCAATACAACCATCAACTTCAGTACCTTTACCATCCACTTCTGCCGACAACCAACAACCATCCACCTCAGCCCAGTAGGGCCACACCATCCATATCCACTCTCTTCACAATCATCCACAAACACCATTACCCACAATTTAAGGTAAGAAGTACTATTATTTCTATTGCAATTGTAGTCTTAAGCAGTAATATATCACAACAATGCACTACAATTACACATTCACTTTTATTTTGTAAGATCTGGAGGTCTAAAAAAAAGTTGCTTGGTTTTTTGGGGGCTTCCAGGAACCTAACCCTATTTTTCCCATAAGTTCTTCAGTTTGTCTAACACGGTTTTGTCTAACATGGCTTTTTCAGGGAAGTAATTACTGTGTTCAACGACGGTCTACTGTAATTTAAAAACTATGATAGATACACTTGGATTTAATGAAGCATGGAACATGCCCTTAACTAATTATGTAGTAGTTTAATGCTTACGAATTGGGCATATTATATTCATCTATCTGCCTCTGTCGATCTTCATGTGCTGTCTGGCCATCAATTCGACAATATGAATACTTTCGCCATACACAATAGTCCTCCAGGATATCTAACATGCGAGTCATCTGGGAAAAGAGTAGGACACGCGACCCCATTTCCTGAAGCTTGGGGAGCAACTTGTCAAGCACAATCATCTTTCCAGCATTCTCCACCTGTCAAAAACACATCCTGTACAGAACTTAATCACTTTTATTACAGTGGAAAATTAAATATTACACAGGGAAATAAACAAGTGGATTTGTCTTACAAAATCGTAATGACACGATTGCAAATAAACCCACGATCAGAGTCATAAAACTCAGTCTGGAGTTTTATGACTCTCTGATCACGGGTTTTATCCCTGCCTTTGGTATGCTTTAAGTGGATTTGTCTTATGTTTAGCTTAAGAAGATTAAATATCTATATTATAGGGAGCAAGGGGCAAGTAACCCCTTCTCCTTCTACATGTAAAAAGAAAACCTTTCCGGGTCACTTTGCCTCAGTGGGAGACAGCCGGTGCATTAAAAAAAATTACATTATATGTAACAAAACAACAGTATACAACAGAACAAAGTCTTTAGCAGAAGAATATGAAACATTTAAGTAATCATTCATATCAGTATTCTACAATATTTGATTTAAATCTTTTTTTTTTATATCATGCTGGCCGTCTCTCACTGAGGGAAGGTGACCCTAAAAGAAAGAAACTTTCACCATCATTCGTACTATCACTGTCTTGCCAGAGGAGCGTAGATACACCAGTTTAATGTCACTCAAATTACCAAAATCCCAAACACATCCTTTTAGAGCATAGGCACTGTACTTCCCACCTCCAGACTCAAGTCCAGCTAACCAGTTGCCTTGAATCTCTTCACAAAATATTCCCTTGCTCACAATCCAACAGCTCATTTCTACTCACTCCTACCTAACACACTCACATACCTGCTACAGTAAAAAAACAGCATTACTGTTTCAAGAAATTTTTCAACAAAACCAATCAGTACCTCACAAAAGACTATCATTACAACCTCCAGGAGTCTGCTTAGGAATTGACTAACTGTCCACGTGTTTATGTAAGAGACCCAAAATAAGTGCTTACCAAGTGGTAGTCTGTTGTGTACGGTGGGCCAGGCTCTGCTCCATCAAAGAGGTAAGGGTGGTTACAACACTTTCTTAGCTGCATGAGAATGTTCTGCAGACGCATCTTCTCTGTCCGACCAGCACCATTCACAATGTCGATGTCTTTCATTAAGATTTTTGTGTACCTATAACAAATATTAAATCAGCTTTTCAACAAACTTTTGAGGTTGTAATACTGTACTTGCTAAATTTGAAGACATTTCTCATACATGTGACAGATCAATAACAAGATGACTGACATACTTTCTGTAGTGATTACCTAAAACCCTCATAAGAAAACTACTAAAAAAACTCATTTCCCCAATAATCCCTTGAGAAAACAGCTACTAAACTGCCTGAATATTAAACATCATCAAAATACCCCTATATTAGCACTCTTTTCCCTCCTACATCCTTCTCTTCAACAGTTTATGGAAGCTGTCTACAAGCACTCCCTCCTCACATAAAACTTATTGCAGTCTTATCTCTCTGCCACATTCCTTCATCAGTAAAATCCTCCTAACATGTACTAAACTCACTTTATCAATACTATCTTTATCAAACTTATCTTTACTATCCAACTGCTGACTTGTTCTCCTTTATATCCCCATGTCAATCCCTTAGACATTCTCCTCTCAAGTATCTTCAATCTTTCCTCCCATCCACAGTCTCCTCTCCAATATCTTTCATCTTTACTCCCATCCACATTCTCCTCTCCAGCATCTTCAATCTTTCCACTCATCCACATTCTCCTCTCCAGCATCTTCAATCTTTCCACTCATCCACATTCTCCTCTCCAGTATCTTCAATCTTTCCTCCCATCCACATTCTTTTCCAATATCTTTTCATCTTTCCTCTCATCTACATTCTCCTCTCCAATATCTTATGTCTTCATATACAATGCTTCTACAATATAAATTCTGCATACAGTGGTACCTTGGGATATGAACAGCTCAAAATGCGAACAATTATGTAAGTGCTTTTGTAAGTGTATTTTTGGGGGTCTGAAATGGATTAATCTAATTTACATTATTCCTTACAGGAACAAATTCTTTTGGTATCAGCACTTGAACAGCCTTCTGGAACGGATTAAGTTCATATCCAAAGGTATCACTGTATTCACTTTTCCCAGCTTCATCATACTGCTACTTTGTTTTTGTACTTTTACAGTGGACCCTCGAATTTCATCATCCCTTTTCTGTATGTAAAATTACAGTTATTTCTATAAAATGTATTTTTTGTTAATATCTTTGGGTGTCTGGAATGGATTAATTGGATTTACCTTATGTCTTACGGGAAATATTAACAAAGAAATACTTTTTATAGAGAACAACTATAGTAACATCTTTTTGGGATTTTCTTTCTTTTTGGGTCACCCTGCCTTGGTGGGAGATGGCAAACTTGTTAAAAATATAGTTTTACATAAAGAAAAGGGATGATGAAATTCGAGGGTCCACTGTGTATACAATTTGTTGAGGTGACCCACATTCCTATTTCTTATTAAAAGCAGAAACAACTACAATTATAAGATAGTCAATTCAACATGTGGATTTCTTCAGTAATTATCTAAAATGATCTTCCAAATTACCTGTAAAGGTATTTTAAGTAACTAAAATATATCAGAGAGGGCTCCTATAGGTTTTGTAAAAAAAAAAAAAAAAAAGAAATGGGAACACAGGCAGGCCCCGCTTTACAGTGCTTCACTTTACAGCATTTTGATAATGCAGCGGTTTTCAAGTCTCCATTTATTCAGACTTTCTACAATAAATACAGATTCACCACTCACTGTAAGCTAAGTACAGTGGAACCTCAAATTTCAAATGTATCACTTATTGAACGTTTCAAAAATAAAACCCTTTTTCAAACCAACTTTATCCCTATTATCAAATGCGTCCCTATTTTCAGACCACCAAGTACTGGACCTGTCCGCCAGCCTGCTCCGTCCGCGTCCCCGCGCAGGGGCCATGAGCCAGTCTGGCTTTGTTGATGCTTGAGTGAACACTAACCTGTGCTCTCATTCAAACATTTTATGATTATTTCATTGTGTTTAGTGCTTGTGGAACTGTGAAATAAGCTACAATGGGAGCAAAGAAGCTTGCTAGTGGTACCCCTGTGGTAAAGAAAGTGAGAAACACCATAGATGTGAAGAAGGAAATAATACAGAAGTATGAGAGTGGTGTGAGACTTGCTGAGCTTGCCAGGATGTATGGAAAAAACAAGTCGACCATTGGTTCTATCCTGGCAAAGAAGGAACAAATCAAGGAAGCTGATGTTGCGAAAGGTGTTAATTTTTTTTTTTTTCAACAAACCGGCCGTATCCCACCAAGGCAGGGTGGCCCAAAAAGAAAAACCAAAGTTTCTCTTTTTAAATTTAGTAATTTATACAGGAGAAGGGGTTACTAGGCCCTTGCTCCCGGCATTTTAGTTGCCTCTTACAACACACATGGCTTACCGAGGAAGAATTCTGTTCCACTTCCCCATTGAAATAAGAGGAAATAAACAAGAACAAGAACTAGAAAGAAAATACAAGAAAACCCAGAGGGATGTGTATAAATAGGCTTGTACATGTATGTGTTAAAGGTAGTAGGTTGGTAGACAGCAACCGCCCAGGGAGGTACTACCGTCCTGCCATGCGAGTGTAAAACGAAGCCTGTAATTGTTTTACATGATGGTAGGATTGCTGGTGTCTTTTGTCTGTCTCATAAATTTGCAAGATTACAGGTACGTCTTGCTACTCCTACTTACACTTAGGTCACACTACACATACATGTACAAGCATATATATATACACACCCCTCTGGGTTTTCTGCTATTTTCTTTCTAGTTCTTGTTCTTGTTTATTTCCTCTTATCTCCATGGAAAAGTGGAACAGAATTCTTCCTCCATAAGCCATGCGTGTTGTAAGAGGCGACTAAAATGCCAGGAGCAAGGGGCTAGTAACTTCTTCTCCTGTATTACTAAATGTAAAAGGAGAAGCTTTCATTTTTCCTTTTGGGCCACCCCGCCTCGGTGGGATACGGCCGGTGTGTTGAAAGAAAGAAATATGTAAAACTGTAATTAATCTCTATAAAATGTATTTTGTTGTGAATATTTTTGGGTTTCTGGAACAGATTAAATGTATTTCCATTATTTCTTATGGGAAATATTGCTTCAATTTTCAGACTTTTCGAATTTAGAACTAGCTCCTGGAACGGATTAAGTTCGAGATTTAAGGTTCCACTGTATAGAAATATTTTAAGCCAAGAAATGTGTGTATTGTACATGCATTTTTAGGTCTAACTCTATTGTTCATTTAATATATGAAAGTGTAAACATGTACATACTACATACATACATACACACCACTGGATTTGTTTAGAGAAGTAGAAAATCCACTGTAAGATTCTGTAAAAGCAACCTTAGTAACACAGCACCAAACCTATTAATAAGAATTGGTAAATATTACTAAGAATTTAATTTCTAATACTAAAAGCACCCACCAATCACGTTGCATTTTAGAAAGCTGGATGTACACTTTTGTCTCTTTCTTCGGCAAAAGACGCTTTTCTACATCTGATTTAAGCCTACGCAGCAAAAATGGCCTAAGTACTGTATGGAGACGTTCAACCAAACTGGAATCCCCCAAGCAATTGTTAGTGTTGAACCACGAATCAAAATCCTGTTGGAGTTATAAAACATAAATGCACCAAATAGTGGGGTACGGGAAAATAAACAAAAAAAAATAAAAAATTGGACAATAGATCAAATTTAATGTTGCTGCAAGATAATGTCAATAAAATATTATTGTTTGTAAAAATCTGTGATAATAGCACTGTACAATGTACAGACAAAAACACCTATATGAGAAAAGACTATGTTAACATATTTTCTCAAAACTAAAAATTGCAACTGGACAAGAATTATGAAATACAGTGGAATGCCATAAGTTTAGACTCAAATATTTAACAACAAATTGTGATAATGAACAGTTAGGAGGCAATTGGAAATTGCTCATCTTACCTCTATAAAATGCATTCTATCACTCAGTGGTATTTATGTGCTTTATGAAGCACCATCAGGAAAGTCTTGTGTTAAGTAACGCTAAGTGGCCAAA